GCCTTTCAATTTACGAACTCCAGTCGAACGCCCACATGCCGTGTCGCTGGGGGTGTGGCCGGCATTGTGTGTACGTCTAGTTTTTAAGTGCTGCAGCACAAATAAATCACATTGGCGAGCGACGTTTGCCTAGCTGTTGTTCTTCTTCTTTTTGCGTGTGTCCCGCCTCCCTCGCACAGGTAATGTCTGCGCCCGAGAGTATGCAATAAAATATTTTCAGCAGACACTATAAGTGGCGGCTGCTGCTGCCTCTGCCACTGTCTCTGCTTCTGCTGCTGCTGCTGCCTCTGCTGCTGCTGCCTCTGCTGCTGCTGCAACTAAAGTCGACGACATTGCCAAGTCTCTGGCATTAATATTTGATCGCTTGGCGTTCCTCATTAGCATTATCAAGCGCCAAGCTGGCCCAAATATGCCGTCTGCAAGCAGCTGACATATTAATGTGCAGGTTAAACCAACAACAACAACAACAACGGCAGCAATAACAACGTCATCAACGTGTGTGTGCGTGCCTTTGTTTGATTACAAAACTCATAAAGTCGCCATGAAATTCAAACAATGCGCTACGTGCATCGAATGCCAACAGCCAGCGGCAACCGCACGGACAATGTCTGCCCTGCCCAGCCACGCCTCCCATCGACCGTCGTCCTGCATAAACACAACATATTCGTTTGACCCAAACGAGTTAGAGCCCAGCGCACAAAGGTATCGCCCTTTAATACATTTTCATTATTGCAAACCCATTTGCTTGGCAACCGCCGCAAAGGACTTGCTGCTCCTGCTCCTGCTTCTCCTCCTGTTCGTGCTGCTGCTGTTGCTGCTCCTGCTGCCAAGAGGTCCTTTCCAAATGTGTGAAATACAATTCGGGCAATCAAATCAGCTTTGACAACTTTAAAAGTGTATTTTCTCTTACTTTCGTTTTCCTCTTTCTTATTCGTTCTCGTTTCTTCGAGCAGCTGCTGTTGCCCTAAGCATGCGGAAGACGCACAAAACGATTTGTCAAAAGTGGTTTTTCACTTGTGGATTATGAATACTTTGCTTAAATTTAGCTGACAGCAGAAAATTATTACACAATGATTAATATTTATTTGCGCTGCCCGAAACGCGCGCCCAAACACACAGCCCATAACGCGTGGGTGTGGCCGCCCCGAGTCCAACTCGGAGTCCGATTCAGAGACCAAGTCCAAGTCCTTTTTCACACAGCGAGTGACAACGTGCTGAAGGCTTTCACAGATACTCTACGGACTGTGGGTCACTTGTGTGGGTTACTTTGGTCTATTGTGGTTTGAGAGAGTTGTAAAACAGAGAGAAAGAAAAAAGTTTTTGTATAGTAATATTTTACAATAAAGGCTGATAGAATATTTTAGTTGATATTTTGCATATATTCTGCTTTAAGTACTCTATATACATATGTACATATTAACATTTGAACATTTATGTATCATCATCCCACTTCATCTTTCCAACTCTTTTCCCATACAACCTACATTTACTTTATCAAAAGGGTAACTGTTATTCGTTGTCTGTCTGATCGACTCTCTCTCATTTCTTTTTTGTTGTGCTCAAAAGGCATTTAATTTAGATTTATGCGCCGCAGCGCATTGTGACAGGCTGGCAGCTCGTACAAAACATAAACATAGTTACTCTCAGAGCGAGTGAAATTATGATATCGTGCGAGCCAGTCCCAGTCCCAGTCCCAGCTCGAGTCCCACTGCCAGGCCAACAGTCAGAGCTAGAGTCGGAGCCAGAGTCGGAGTCAGAGTCCGGCATGCCGACCCAGTCAAGTTTTAGCCGCAACGTTTGCTTTTGCTCGGCTGCTTGTTTGCTCGACCGCTGATAACTTATCGAACAATAAAATAGCCTTAGGCCGTCGCAGCTGACAGACGAGCGGCTGAGCTCTGAAGACTGAGGACTGAGGGCGGAGGGCAGGCATGGCTGTTCGCTAAGTCGACACAAGGCAAATAAGGATATGCGCAAATAAAATAGCAATAAATCAAAACCTCTGACGATCTGACGATGACGACGAGGCTGGCCCTAGCGATTAAGGCCTCATAGTTGTGATTCCTGATGCCTTCAGATGTCTCCGGCGACTCCGCCTCCACGGCGCTCCTCTAATGGTGTTTCAGTCCCTCCAAATAAATCGTCTGGGGGTCGAAAGTGATTTTGATTGTTATTTACTTGACTCGAGCGACGTCTGCTGCCCGCTCCACTTAGCCAGCCACGTAATTTTCAATTTCAGCGGCGAGTTACCCCACTCCTGCGCCTGCTCCGGCTCCTGCTCGTGCTGCTGTTCATAATTTATGCCAATTGTCAGCCAAGCTGCATGCATGACAGCCAAAAATCAATGCAGCGGAAGTGCCAGAGCCGCCATTTTGCACCGCCTGCCACTGTCAATAAGGAAGCTTCATTATAAATTATCCGGCTGACAGGTGAAGTGGGAGCGTAGCGACGAGCGACGAGCGCATAAGAAAAAACATTCCCTCTCCGCTTCAACAGCAGCTCCCACCCACACACACACCCACACACCGGAGATTGTTTCAATCTGCTTAAGCGTCCAGGCCAAGTCAAGTATCCTGCCGCCAGGCAATCAGGCGTATTATGTGCTCTGCCCCTGCCCCTGCCCCTGTAGGGCCTGCTTCAGTTCCGATGGCCATTAAAAACGATTGTTGTCTTAAAAATTTCGTATAATTGGCCAGGCATAGCTGAAGGGGCGACGTAAGCCACACACAAATCGAAGGCAAACATCAACTCGTTAAGCCGAGAGCTCTATGTAAATAATGCAGCACTTCAGTGGAGAGCCAACTGCAGGCAGACTTGACCACAATTAGATGCGATTACTCGATGCAAAAGACTCGTTGGGGCAGCTATAAATAATCCCTTAATGCTATTAGCGCCGTTACCTCAGGTAAATATGACAGTGGAGTGAAGCGTCAATTAGGCCAGCGCTGCGCGTTTAATGGGGGCCACTTGAAAAAATATTAAAAAGGAGATATATATACGAGTGAAAAATTTGAAATGCGTAGCAGCAGGCGCACCCGCCTGCTTTATTGGCACCAGCCGGCCGGAGTGGCCGGGCTGGCAGGAGTCGCAGGACTGCGAGAAGCAGCTGGACATTAGCTTTTTGGGCCGTGGAGCTGGGGGCCATTGAGGATAGCGGGCCCGGGTTCCAGTTATGGGCAGCATTATGCTCCAGCTTGTACATGATATGGCGTCATTAAATACACATTACCATGCAGCACGCTCAGCAGAGGGTGGCAGGGGTGGCAGGGGACGGCTGGCTGATACAATAACAGCAGCAATAATAAGCAGCAACAGTCGCTGGCAGCGCAGCGAGCGAGCAGCTATTAAAAAGCGCCAGCAAAGATACACACACACACACACACACACACTTGCGGTGCCACCCACATTCAGTTACAACAAATTACGGCATTTCGACAGGCAGCAAATCGAGGAGCGCCCGTTCGATGGCCAACGACGGTGTTGAGTTTCAATTGTGCTCGTAAACGTGGCTCCCAATTGGCTCCCAGCGAATAATTCATATAAAACACTTTCGCACCGAGCGCCGCCTTCCCATTAGCATCACGTTGTTACAGCCAGCCTCCTGCTTCTTCCTGCTTCCCGTTTCCTGCTCGCTCACCTGCACCCACACTTCTGTTTCGGTTACGCGCCATGTAACCCCACGATTGCATTCACAGCAAATTATTTATGGCTGCGGCAGACACGAACAGGAAGCGAATATGCGCTGCCAACTTCACGTCTATCAATATTTTATGAAACTCTGTCTGCAGGACACACAGAGCCCCGCCCCGCCTCGTCTCGCTGCCGCCGCAAACAAGGACAAGGGTATCAGTATCGGTATCAGCTCACTTGGATCACTCCCTGCTCAGCTCTCTGTCTCCAGCTGTCTCGTTCTGTCTTCCTGGCTGTCTCTCCGCTCTCCGGTTGCCTGACTGCCTGTCGATATCCGGTTAGATGAGTATCTAAATTGCCTTTACTGTTGATGAATTAGCGCCGGTTGCCGGCATCGCTCCTCATGCGGATGAGGCCAGAGCCACAGCAACAGCCACGCCACAGACTGTGAGCCAGGGCGGGAGAACGGGCACGAGCTGCAGCAGCCAGAGCTGGCTCCTGCCAGCCAGCATGCCTGCGCCCGTTAGATAAGTGCCCTCCATGCCAAAAAGAAAATTTCAATTTGCCTTGAATGATTATATAAATACCAGAGAGTAGGCTGGCCACGGCTCGCTCGAGCTACACAATTTTCAATAATAGTTGCACAAATAGCAAAACTCTGAATAGAACTCATTTATATGGCACGATAAGATGAGAGCGGAATCAAATCGAATGAAATGCCATCAAAACGGAAAAACTTCAAATACATACATATATACTATGTAGTTTGTATTACATTAGCCACAAATTGAATGCAGATGAATCGAAGATGAATCGAAGATAAACATAGTAGAGATTGCTGCATTTTTATATTAAAATAGAACCACAATAAAAACTATTTTTGAGGTAGTGAAACTGATTTCTGAGTAAGTGCTGTTAGTGCTCTTAGGCTTATTTAGAAGGAGGCTATTCTCTATTGATGATATAGCATACCTTAAATTTCCTCATCATCCGCCCATCAACTTTCTCTAAGCTAATCAAAATTCAAGGTTCAATGTTTAATATCGAAGAACCTCCGCCTTGTTAAGCTTTCCTTTTTATTTTATATATATATATATATATATATATATGTGTATATCTCATATATTCATTTTCAATTATTACTTCGACTTTTCACTCTTTTAGGTTTTAATATAATTTATATACAAAAATATAAAAAATAACAACTAAATTCGCGGTCATTGGTCCATTGCCACCTTAATATGTTGTCCAAGAAGTATGTGGTTGGGATTGTTTTGCTCATAACAGCGGTGGGTCTGCCTAGCCAAATACCTATGTATGTGTGTAGTTGCTGCCAATACTCATCGCTATAGCCTGTATACATATGTAGGTGATCTGCACACTGAATGCAGCTGTGTTTGGCCACGTAATGCCCACTGCCGCGAGCTATGAGCAGTTGGTTCAGCAAAGCATCAGCGCGGGCACCGCCTACACTTGCATGCTCTACGGACTGAGTCCTTGGCTATATAATTCGCACTTTGCGGTGCCCAGGCGGCACATACGCTATGTGGTTCGTACTTGAATATATGAATCGTCATTTTCGTATACCCCCAGTTGACTTGCATTCGCTTAGCTCATTTCAATGCTCATCTTTCTGATTCTGGCCAATATCGTTGGGCTCACGACGGGGATCAAGAAGCAGTACATTGCACTCGGAGAGGACGCGGTCGACCTCAGAGATTTATACACACCGTTCGAGCTTCAGTGTCGCATGATAACCCTGGTGTTTTTTGTGTTAGCAATCGTATTGCTGCTAATCGCTTTGATTTTAGTGATGATGATCGCTCTTGCTATCCATAACTATCCCGATTTTACCCAAGAGCCCAGCAAAATATCGCTGCCATAGAATGGGTGCTTATTACAAATCGATTGTTAAGCATATATATATGTACAAGTATTTTCAAGTTCTTTAAACAAACAAAAAACTAAGTAGATGCTTAAGATTTAAATATATTACATATATACGATGCTACATTAACTCTGAACTCATGCCATGCCCTTGGCTTGTTGTGCCTCGGGCTGATGCTGCAGCTTGTCGAGCAATATGTGGAGCATATTGGGTTTATAATATTTCCATCTGCTGTCCAGCTATCTGCAACAAAGGTATATTCGGCAAATTTCTAATAAAACTTGTGGAAGTAGATATAATGTTAATATCTCTTGAGCAAAAAGTATTGGAAGTAGATGAATTCTTTCTTAACGATAATAACCATCCGCTGGTTATGAGAAAGCGATAGAATTCCTTTATATAGCTGACAAATATCATCTATATGCTCGAAGAATCTTATTTTAAGTAATTGCCAAGTCTTAGAGCTGACTCCAGAGTATTACGCAGAGTATTACGCAATTGCTTAAGCTCGACTGCAATGTTTTTACTTGCCTCGTTTTACGTCTTGTGCATAATGAAGTGCGCAGACGGTGCAGTTTTCGCAGCGAGACAAACGAGGTTAAGGTGCAGGATATCAACTTAAAGATACCTGAAACTTGCCAGCCGGAAAAAGTTAAAGGCAAGTTGCCATAGGCGTGGGCCAATTACGCAAATGGTCGACTGACTTCTCGGAAAGGGGCCACATCAAATGTGACATTTGGCAGCAGCAGCAGCGGGGCTTACAGTTAAATTTCCAGTTAAGTTATTGCCGCGAGCAGAACTCACTCGAAAGTAATTTCAAATTTAATTGCGTATAATTTAGAACGTCGAAATGTTTGCGTGCGTTTAATTAACTGAAAAATAAAAATATAAAAAAAAGGAAAGAGAAAGAAAAGAAAACAACAACACAAGCCGAATGAATGGAATGCCCAAAAGCAGCGAATGCCATGGGACGGTAAATGAGCAAAAACAACAACAACAACAACATCTATAAAAACATCAGCTGCAAAATGCTGAATGTTAAATGCCAACTAATTAAATTTCGGGCATGCCATGACAGTCGATTCCGGATGTCGAATCGCGGACCCATTCGTTGCGTATACGCAATTTATTGTTGCATTTAATGGGCAGCCCATGCGGTTGCTCCTGTTGTTTTTGTTGTTGTTGTTGCTGCTTTAGTGCTTAACACTTTTATTGCGTATACGCAGTGTATTACGAGTCTAAATGCCATTTGTATGCAAATAACGAGTCTTCGCTCGTCTAGCAACATCGTCTACTCACACACACACACACACACAGACACACACAATCGCAACCACAAAAACAACCATCAAACTGACTGCACCACACACGAGCGGCTGGTTGGTTGGACATTCGTTGGCCATCAAATGCCAAATGAAGCCAATAAAAACTAACTGCGAGTGCCACTAGCCACTGGCGTGCACAGCTGCCGGCACCACAGCACACCACAGCGCACCACACGCAACTCTATCCACGACCACCTGCCAAATGCCGTGAACCAGTCATGCCTTGGTAACTGATAACATTTTTAATTATGCTCCGCGCATTAACACGTTATAATCACACTCACATTTATTAAATACAAATTTTGATTTCATTTAAATTAAATGCAATTTAAAACGCGTTCGCTTTATGCATAATTCAAATGAATGAAAATATTTGTGCATTTCAAACGATTTATGGCAAAGTAATTAAATGTCAAATGATGATACAGCTAATTTTTTTTGTGCGTAATATCTTCATAATACTAATTAAAAAAAAAAAAAAGTAAATTTAAAGAAAACAAATCGAGAAAACTCTTTAATCATTATTTTTTATATGGAGAGAGAAAATAAAAATATATATATATATTTAATGTCAATTCATGGTTTAATAACTAGATTAAATTTATTTCAAATTTAAAGGGAATTTATAAGTATTAATAAAAAATTAAATTAATTAATTAACTAAAATTGAAAATGGTAAAAATATTTGTGGGTTTTTATTGAATATTCACTTAAATAATAATTAATTTCATGAAATTGGAAAAGGGTAAAAATATGTATGGATTTTAATTGAATACCCATTTCATGATGATGAATGAAAGAAATTAAGTAAATTAATTAGTTACCTTAAACTGAAAATTTTATTATTTCTAATTAATTATACATATTACGAAATATCCATTTAAGAGGTACTGGAAATATTCATCTATTTTATTATATATATAAAAATAAATTTAAAGTCGAAAGTTCATTTTTATTTCTTATATATTTCTTATATATTTGTATATCAACTGTGAGGCGACTGAACGCCCTTATGCCAACAAATAAATAGTTGTAAGGTTACAGTTGAGTGCACAGTCATTGTTGACGGGGAGGAGATGAGTTTAATGACTGTTTGCACGCACTGTTAATTTCGATGTTTTATTTATTTAAATGATGTAAAACGAACATGCGATGTGGGTCAATAATGTGTGTATGGATGGATTGGTGAGGCAATCGATTCGACAGTGCAATAACCACGGCCATTCAATGCCAACAAGCACAATTTACACACACACGCACACACACACACACACATACAGAGAGAGAGACAAACGAAATTGGCAGCCGCAGCGCGTAAATTTGAACGAAGCTACAAAAGGTCAACTGCGAGGCCGCAGATGGGAATGCAAAATGAATCTGTGGCATTTGCCACAGCCAGCGCATGGCATTGGTTCGTTGTATGCATAAATTACGCTGCCATATGTCAGACACTGTCCGAGCTGAGCTCCGATTTTTGCGCCACCTCCAAAAGGACTCGCCTCATGTCAAGCAGCCGCGGGCAGGAGGCTGAAATTTATGAGGCCTGACTGCCACAGCGACGTCTGCTGTCTAATTGCAGCTGACTGTGGCCAAGACAGCGCCAACAGGCACTGACTACGTTCAATGGAATCTGACAGTATTCACCTAGCATGCTTATCAATCAATCGAGTCTCCGACTTAGTTTACAAAATCTCCCATCAAAGTAGGTTTGCTTTATTTACACACAAGTTCATAGACAGCAAAAATTGTTTTTACACATTTTACTCCGAGTCTGCGCATCGGTGTAACGAAATCGAAAAAGTCGAAGCAAAATGGATTTACCGGAACATGAGGATGTCGCCAACTGGATGGAGAATGAGCAGAATTTTGCGGACTTCTTCTACGACAACTTTGATTTGGTGCGCACTGACGACGACGACGACGACGCCGACGCCGACGCCGACTCGACGGCAGGAGATGCAGGTGAGATCCGTTAGGTCTTGTCGCCCAGATTCCAATCCTCTATACTCCAAGCAGACGAGCCCAATGCGGAGGTTGAGCAGCAGGTGGCAAACATTCCAGAGACGCTCCGGCGGCGTAGGAATCACCGGTTGGCCCCGTACTTCTGCAACGTGTGCCACGACTATGTGCGCGGTGGCGTGATTACCATTTGCGGACACCTCTTCTGCTGGACCTGCCTCTGGGCCGATCTGCACGATCGCGTGCTGTCCCGCTGCCCCTGCTGCATGCGCCGGCTGCTGCTGCACGAGGACATCATTCCGTTTCTGGGCGAGGGACCCAACGCCGGCCCCGACGATGCCAACATCGTCGCCCAGCCGGGCAACGTGGCCCGCCCCTCGGGCCTCTATCTCGAGCACCATCACTATCCCATATGGTTCTCCGTGCACAACTTCGAGGAGGCGCGCTTCGCCGGCCTGCGCGTGATCGAGCGCAACCTGGCGGTGGTCGTGCAGCGCATGCACCTCGAGTACCGCCGGTGCATGTCCTGGATCAAGTATCTGCAGTGGTTCCAGCTGGTCTGCGCCGCTGGCATGCTCTACTTCTGGTCGTGCACATCACAGACCAAGGATTAGGTACTCGGATGGGTCGCATCTCCCGCTCTTGTGGGAGGCTCTGCACTGAAATAGTTGAACTTGCTAAATGGGTTTTACTGCGGCTCTGGCCAAGACTCCTCATAAATTCAAATTGTTGGGCGAATTCTGAAGGTCGTTCCAAAATATAATTGTTTTACTTTGCTTAGCTAAATATATTGTGAATTGTTTGGTTTATAATAATAAACATATGTTGGCTTATAAACAAATTTGTAAAACTGTCTATAGGATTAAAGAGTTTGGTCTTGAAGGGGAGTCAGTGGGGAAAGACAGCAAAAGACAGGGGGAGTCACTAGGGAGATACAGAGAGTGAGAGCAAGAGATGTAGAGAGAAAGAGAATGAGAGAGAGTGAGGGAAAGACAGAAAGACAAAGCGAAAGAGAGAGACAGATAAGCTTATTAAACAGGGATGGAGAGAGAGAACAGACTAATAAACAGGAAGAGAGAAACAGCGAACCGATTAATAACCAGAGAGGAAGGACAACAGATGAGAAGAGAGGTATTCATCAACAAGATGAACCATGGAAGACTTATATATCGTAAGGCAGATCGTTAGAATGAAACAAAAAGTGAGCAAGAGAAACAGAGAAAGGTAGTGACAATTGATTCAAAAGACGAGGGACGGAATAAGAACCAAGAACTAAACAGAGGCAGTTATGTTCTTTTATGAGAGAAAGAGATAGAGGAGCAGAGAGAGAGAAAGAGAGAGAGAGGGATATTAGAGAGGAGAGATCAACTTAATAAATTTAATCAATTCTGTTCAGCCTAGATAGAAATATCATGACATCAAACTATTCAACAAAAATGCAGCTTTATTATATTTTTAATCAATCGGAGGAGTTTCATTGTTTTAGATATATAATAGAATTTATGTGCTGGCATACATATATAAAAGAATCTTTTTTATATTTTCTACATTCACTATGATTCTATGCTCATTTGACTTTATTGACATATATTCCGATTAAGTCAAATTAACTTGCAGACAACATTTACTCAATGAACTTTCGCTTGCGGCTTAAGAGAAACAAATCGAGTTACCTTCAGCTGGACAGCTGCTAACAGGCGCTGTAATTAGTCGTTCATCCCTGCGAATGGCATTCGCGGTTAACAATTAATATGCGGCCGGTGGCCTTCGCCATTTGTCATGCCAGTGTGAATCCCCTTTGGCGGCGACTCGATCCGTCTGCTGTCTGACGGCAGCGTAACGGCATGTGCTCCCCGTGCGATATTTATCATTAATTATAGGAATGCTATGAAATCCTTGCTGGCGGCCAGTGAAAAGTCACTGGGCGAAGCCTGCGTCCTGTGAGGCTGCATTTTTTTGCGCTTTCATTGTTGCAGCTTAAATGTGCGCATGTATATGTGTATGTGTGTGTGTGAGGTGTAAAATGTGTGCGCTTGTGTATGAAATGCATTAAAATTGAGCACTTGCCCAGGCTGTGGCTGCGGCTCTGCTGCAGCTCTGCTGATTGACGACTTTTAAATTCCATTAAATTTATCGGAACTTAAGCCGTAACACCAGTCATGCAACCGCTCCACCACACCACCCGCCCCACCCTCAATGCCAACCACACGTTAGTGGGCGTGGCCAGCCTTATGCTCAGCTAAAAGTTTTTACAAAGGATGCAAATTGGTTTATCTTTAACTTTGCTCGCCTTCTGCTTTCAGGTGAGCTCCACAACTTAAGCGATAATAATAAAGTTGCCAAGACTTTAAAACAAAAATGAGAATTGTTTTTTTTTTTTTTATGAATAATACTTGTATTTGTATGAGTAAGTTTATGTATAAGAGAAAGAGTGAAATGATATAGTTTCCGTAATCATCTATAATTTAATAATTAATTAACGTCTGGATAGCAAATGCTTAAGCAGCTCTAATCAGACTTTCGAGTAGTTTTGGGCAATTGCAACTTAAAATTTAAGCAGTCAATGCGAAAATGAAGAGAGCTCGTCTCCACTATCAACAGCAGCAGCAACAGCAGTAGTAACAGCAGGAGCAGCAGCAGGAGCAGCGGCAAACGTCATTAAAATCTTCCGCTGGCTGCACAACAAAGCGCAGGCAAATTGCTTTACACGAACTGAAGAGAGTGTGCGTGTGTGTGTGTGTGAAGGTCCATGTATTCGTTTGTGTGTGTGTGTGAGTATGTTTGGCAATTTTTAAGTCGAAAATTACATGAGCTTTGACAGCCATTTTTGCCCAAGTTATGCAGTTTGGCAACGTGACGTATGCGTAATTACAGTCAAAGTTGTCCCGCCTGCTGCTGCTACTGCTGCTGCATCAGCTGGGAGGGGGGCAGGGACTCGCAGCAATATCATGCAACATCTTGTCGCATTCACCAGACCATTTGCCATAGCCAATGCCACGCCCCTATGCCATGGGAAGCGACTGCTTAGCTGCTGTCAACTGCAACATTTTGACTTTGGCAGCTGCAGTAATTCTCATTTCAATTATAGCATCTGTCGACATTTTGCAAGTGTAGGGAGGGGGCTGAAGGAAGCGGATGGACCGTATGGCAGATGGCTGGCTGGCGCAACGGTAAATGTGGCCTTTATGCATTACATAATTACAGTTGTGTTTGCATTGCGCCACCGAACCACCAGGGGCGGTTTCCTGTGCTGGCTACCCCTAATGACGCGCCATTGTCTGCCTCGGTTATGAGGCGCTGGGCTAAAGCGGAGGCGGCGCTGCTGCCAACTGTAATTGGATCAGTTAAGTGTGATAGCAGGCATTATACTTTGTATACGAGACTATTTGATTTGCAGTTCCAGGACGAGCAAACACGGCCTCAACTGGTTGCCGAACATCTTTACAGCTTTTGGTTTTTTGTTTCTAATAGACAGAAGAGGAGCCATTGACAGCCAGTTTATTCTGTTTCCTGCCCCGTGCTGTGGCATTTGTGCAACTGCCATGCACTATGCACGTTTCCGTTTCCGCTTTTCGGGCGTTGCAATTGTCGCTTGTCGTCCGTCCCGTCTCCTGCCGGCACCGTTTGCGGGTGTTAAAGTCTGGCGCACATGGCGTACACATTATGCATAACTAATGGCCGCTTCACTATATATTGTTTAATTTATCAGACATGCATTATTTATGCCTCTGTGTGAGTGCAGTGCCAAGTGTCCAATGAAACGGGAAACTTGCAGCTTGCAACTTGAACTGTGAGCTGCAGCAATTCTCTCCAATTGCTGGCTCCAAATCAAATTTATAGTCGAAGCTGTTGTTGTTGCTGTTGCCGTAGCTGCTGCCGTTTGGCAATAATAAATTGCATTTAGCTCCACTCGAGTGGGGATCTCTGCAATTTCAATTAAATTGCGTTATACAGGTGTTAAGTGCTTTAATTTAGATTTGCCTTGGCTCAGGCAAACAAATGTGGCTAACGAGCAGCCGCAAGAGTCTATAAACTTGCTGCTTGATAATTGCTGTGGCAAAAGGCAAGCGAGCAAAAGTTGATGCCTCAAATGGCACACAAAAAAAACGAAAGCCCCAGGCAGCAGCAGGAGTCCGTGCAGCTGGGAGTCGCAGGAGCCGAAGAAATGCAATAGATTGTGTCGACACAATGTACGTCTGAGCAAGAAAATACAAAAGAATTGTGCCACAATGCATGCCACACACTCACACACACGCACACACACACTAGCACACTCGGCTAACGAGCTGCGGCTGAGTATATCATTCAAAACATGCAAAATCTGATATAGTATATACACTCACACCTACACACATGCACACCCAGTGACAGCAAGTTGGAGCTCTCAACTCTCAGCGCTCAGCTTGCATTTCTGGGCACAGAGCTGACACCTTAGTGCGGCCAGCCGGCTCACTTTAAGCCATATTGTGTATAGATAACGTGTCTATTCAGACGAAAACTGATATGACGACAAAAACAGATGCAAAAGCCAGCAACGAGGGGCCGTCGACATGCCAATGGTTAGAGGCAGACAGACAGAGTGAGTACGAGAGAGAGAGAGAGAGAGGGAGTGAGAAAGGGAGCGAGAGAGTTGCTGGCAAAACTATGACGTTGACAATGTCGTCGAGTCGCATCCTTGTAAGTACTAGTTGAGTAACAAGTTGGCTCAAATGCGGAAGCTAAAATAAAAGTAAAAGAAACAAAGTATGGCAACAAAGGAATAATCAAGCAGCACGATAATCGACTGAGATATGCCCTGGATGTATGGCTGTGACGAAAGAGCTCTGCTATAGGTTTTTGAATGGGCTACAAACAAGTATGATATGGGAAATGTGTCAAAGCTATGCTGTATCGAAATTTGTCGATAACCATGTGATAAATGCTGCTATGTGGGATTTGTAAGCATGAATACGATATTTGAAAGCTGAAGCTTCTAAGGTATAATATTTTCTTTATATGTATGCAAATGTGTGTGGTTTCATTACAATATTTATCGATAATTAGAGTAGACGTGTACTTGGTTTGCATTTGGTTGTTAATCAATAGAATATTTCGTAGCTTTAGCGCGTATAGTCTGAAAAATGTTAAAAACTATTTCGGATGATATATCAATAATTATAGATGAACACTTCCTTTAAAAAATATACGCCCACATAGTGTAGAATCCGGTTATAGCGACACTCAAGGGACCGACGATCTTAAGCGGTGTCGTTATAGCCGGACTCTACCTTACCTAAGAAACCTTCAATATAAGATGAAGCTATCGATAGATATCTGTACATAATAAAAGTCGATAGCGTATATAGTAAATCGATAGATTATTTACAAGTATTCTTGCATAAATATTCATTCAATATTCAAGAGAATTATTTACTGACTAAATTGGTAGTATGGCAAATGTATCGATATTTATCAATTAATTATTTAGATTATACATTAATTCGATATTTATGAATTCAATTTGCTTATACACCCGCAGTCTCTTTCTCTCTAGCTGCTGTTATACACCCCTTCGACTCCCATGTTCACAGGGTATTTAGGAAAAAAAAGAGAATACTGTTGCATGCTTGTATGCAGGATAGACCCTACAGTTATGGGCATAACAGCGAGCGACTCTGGGAGTCAGCAGCGCAACTTGACGCTTATCACCGCAAAAGTTTTTGTCACTTTGCCGAGTTGGGCTGCGGCGTTGACAGCGCTTAAACTTTGCAGTCAGCGAGCATTGCTTTAAACTCTTGAAAATGTTTGCATATTGTGCGAAGGCAGCTGTGTGGTCGCTGCTCCTGCTGCTCCTGCTGCCGCTGCTGCTGCTGCCGCTGTTCTGCCAAAACTTGACTGCCTCAATTGGCAATAGGGCTAATGACAGGGCCAACTGTCAGGGCCAAGCGAGACGTTGGCGCTGCCGTTGCCCCTGCCGCCGCTGGCCCAATGTGCAGCCTAATGCTCAGCAATTAGCCGCCAGTCAACGCAGCTCGTGTTATCCAATTAAAACTGGCCGGCGCCACAGTCAATGGCTGCCCGCATACGCACACACTCGAGGACAATGCCAGCTCTGAGCCACTGCAGCATGGCCGTCGGCCATGGCCAAAAGTCATTGCACAGCGCACATTAGCCATGGCCACTGAGCCAGCCCCGCCCCAAAACAGTTGAGCAGACACGCATCCACAGGCAATTGAGGTTCACAAAGGCCAAACAATCCTAAAACAAACTCTGCGCACTTCAGAGTAACATGTGCGAGCACCGGCATATACATATATTTAAATATTGACCCAATGCTTCAACAATATAGTGTATACATACGTACATATACTATCCCTATTTATGTTTAAAAATTCTAATTTAATATGTTCGCCTGCTTGTGACAGCTGCTTCACTTGACTTTCTTTCAACTTGACCTTTGAAGGCCAACGAGTTGAGCTTTCAACAGAATTTGCTGGGTCAACTTTTGTTTTGGTTTTTTCTTTCTTTTTTTCGCAGGAAAATCAAGCAAGGGGCGTGCGTCTGGTCCATTGTCTCGATTTTTCGTACTCCCCGGGGTGTCTGCGAGAGCTATTTAACTTTTTATCCATCAAAATGGGCATCATTGTCACAGGCAATGAGTACAAAATGTTTTAAAACGTTTTAAGCAGCAAGAGGGAAGACAAAGTGTTCGACTAAGATACAGAGATTGCCAGCTTGGTAGATACCCTTTACTCTTTAGTAGAGTAATAGCCTGTGATCACAAAATGTATAACATATAAGTGTATAAATAAATGAAATGCCATTTAAAAATGATAAAAAAAAAGTCATAAAATCTAAATTAAACAAAATTGAAAAATAATAAAAAAAAAAAATATTAAAAAATACCCTAGTCAAAAAAATTAATAAATAAATATATAAAAAATTCCTTTCTGGAATTTTATTATAAATATTAAAAATAGCTATATACATATGTTTGCTCTTTTAAATATTCAAGTGCCCAATTCAAATGCAATTATTCATTAGAAAGCATTCCCAAGCACCTATCTAAAATTCAATTATAAACATTAAAATGGAATATATTAATCAAATTTTAATTAATTACAGCGTAAGCGTACTCAAAAGCCCACCATAAATTCAGCTGGAAATTGCATATATTAAAGCAAAAGTTATCGATAAATTCATCAACCCTAAATAACAGACTCAGCCCACAGCCAGACAGATATAAAAAGAGAGAGAAATGAACCTACTCGCGAAAATATTCATGTTTTTACGAGTTTATCAGACTTTGCTCAATATTCGGTCTACATCAGGCATGCCCCTACAATAATACATTTATTCCCCCAGTGTGTGCACAGGGTATGGAAAAATATTTGAAAGCCAAATGCAATGCATTTCGCAAATGGCAGACAGCGCAGGAGACAGACAATCGTTTGTCTATCAGTCTGTGTGTGTATGTGTGTGTGTGTGAGTGTCTGCTTGTCTGTCCGTCTGTCTGTCATCGATTGCTGAAAGCATTTCATTATACTTCGCATTTCGTATTTCACAATTTGCCTGTCCCAGGAGGCAAGAGCAACAGCGGAATTTGTGGCCATTGCCGTGGAAAATGTTTCTCTTTTCCTTTTCTCTTTCTTTTTTGTGATTTTTTGCATTTGTTATTGTTGCTGTCTAAAAACGTTATAAATCTGTGGGTAATTGTGTTAAGTTCTCGACTGAGTAAATTGTATAATAATTTATTTTAATTGGCGAAAGCCAAACTCTGACAGAGAATAAACAAATGGCCCCAAAAAACGATGGAGAAGGGCGGTGGGTTGAGATGTCTCAGACTCGCCGAAAGCTAGACATCAAATTACAGAGCTCCAATGCGGTTTTCATTAGTCTAATTGTAACTATTGTGGAGGGGAGGACACTAAGACTGGGGGTTATGTGAGCAGTGATTAGCCTTACCTTTTGGCCAAAAAGGTCGAAGCACAAAAGCCCACACGAAACGATGCGTGACAGTGTTAAATTGTACAGCATACACCTGTGTGCGTGTGTGTGTGAGTGTGTGTGTGTGTGTGTATGGGTTCGTTTGCGGCTTTTAATTAGAGGCAACTAAAGAGGGTCCACCTTTCTAGCCTAATGCACAAACATTAACATATGAACGATAGCTGAACTGTGCCCCTGGATGATACACGTCTTTGCTGTGCTACCAACAACTGCCAGCTGAGCTGGCTTGGGCAGTGCCTAGACCTTCGAGTGGAATTTACTGCCAGCAGGCAGTGTGGCTGCGCATAAACAAACCAACAACTAAACCTGTCCCAGAACTTTGCCTGAGTGTAGTTTTGTGTGACCCTCGAGTTCAGTTACATAGATCAACTCGAAGGTAAGGCACATTAACTAACTTCCAAGTTTTATGCGAGCTCCTGGCCCAGATAGAAAGTAAACACTGATTATATATACAGCACTCGTAGCTGACTCTTAAGAGATGTCTTTGCTATTTGTTCGTAAACTGTGGCCAGTCGCAGCAGCAACAGACGGCACTCGCAAATGGAAATGGAAAATGGAAAAATCTTGAATATGAAAGCTAACAGCAAAGTTGTGCCCACTCTATGTCAAGTCTTGAAAAACATTTTGCTATTACATTTACATAGGATGCTGACATAAATAAAATCTGTTTGAGCAGCACTTTGAATACATATTATGAATATTATTTTAGTAGAAGTCTAATATATATTTTCCCCATGTAAGTAATTATTATAATACAGCAGAGATCAAGATGGTTTTAAGAGTGTATGTAAACTGCCTACAGACAATAGATAAACATGATATATATATATTTTTTAATTTGCTTGTAATTAGTTTTTATAAACAATAGAAGCATACCAGCATAAACATCATTTAAGATATCTATATGGTTCGAGAATATGTGAAAAAAGTGAGTCCAGATAGATGCAATTAGACTCTAAGCGTGTGGGTTATTAAGCCGTAATTATTCACCAAAGATTTGTGATTTATGTAAAATTGGTAGTATAAAGTATTTTAAAAATAATAAATATAATGTAATCAAATATATTGTATAGTATAAACAAATAATAATTTATTATATAAGTTTACTAAAATTAAAATGATTTTATATGTACATAAACAAATATGCTAAAAATATATATATTGAAATTTTATTCCAGTTCATCAAAAAATTTCCCTTCAAATTTCATTCAGCTCTGAACTAAATAAACAACAATCAAATACAAGAATAGAAAACCTGTTTTTTAAAGCTACCAAGATTAAATTTCAAATTCATAAATAATATAAAAAAAGTCATAAAATCTCTATAAACACATCTGATTATGGTTATGCTTATGAGTGTTGATTAATCCCAATACACAATTTACAATCAAAGAGCGAACAGCTCTTTAGGTCATTTTGAAATGATTCTCAAGCTACAATCACACATCACACACAAATGCCAATGATTACGTGATGCTCGTTTTGTGGCTGACATCCGTAATGGAGATATCAACGTGTGGGGGAGTGTGCACTGTACAGGGTACTAGAGGAGCCGGCTAATCGACAGTTGCAAATGCTGTGGCTGTGCTTTGATTAGATACAATAATAGTGTTGATTGCCTTTGCTGATTGGACGGCACTTCCTGGGCCCGACCAACGATGATGTAAATTTGATGAATTTCAAATAAACGTATGTATGGGTATGTGCATGTGTATGTAGTCGATAGAAGCTAGTGGCAGTGGGCCAGGTGGCTGCCCGCCTCGCCACTCCGCTGACCCGCTGGCCCCTCGATGAAGGGTAGCTTTTGGCTTATTTTGCAATTTTCCGGGTCATGAAGTTGACTTTTGAAATTTACTGCTGGCTTTTATATGCCCCTAAACGAAAGATCGAAGCAAAATTGTGTGCTCAACATTTGCATTTTTATATGATTTGTGCTGGCGCTCGCACTACATATGCTGCTCCAGCAGACCCCAAGGAGATTTATGGTAAAATGCGAGGCGCGAACTTTTCACTGAATCAAAAAAGACAAAAAAATCAGATAAAATACCTGAAATCTTTTCTTTTCAATTTATGCATTCAATCAAAGCAAAAGCAAAGTAAACTTTAATTTCACAGAACAAACAAACGAGTCTTCAATGCCAAGTGAAAGTTCCGAGAACCCAACGAAATTCGAGGTGTTATTCATGGGCTTAACCTTATCACCTGTTAGCTCTTAAGCAATTTATAATTTCTCAGTAACTCGGGCAATATACGTTTTGGGAAACCGCTCCGTGAGTAATGCACGATAATACGAACCCGGACTACCATATCATAGAGATATGGAGAGAAATACAGATAATTTGTATATTGTAGGCGAGCACTCTAAAGATTCCGAGTTGAATGAATGTAAGCTTCTATTTACTTGTAGCACACTTAGAAAACATTTTGAAGAAATTATATTTATTATATTTAAGAAGAGCTTATGCTTTACTAACATTTTTGAACAACAATAAAACATTTTATGAGAGCTTGGCAACAACTCGATTCTCTTCCAGTAAAGGGGGTCAATGAACTGGTGATAAAAATATTAATTTCAAGTAAATAATATGTGCATCTGTTCAAGTATAAAATAACTATAAAATATAATGAAAATAATTAATATAAGTATGTATGAAAAGAATTCGTTCTCAATAACTCTCCATAATTTGAGCTTCTGTGTGAATCGGAAAAAAATAATACATAAAATATCCATATGTGCATAGTCTCAATTTCACATACATATCTAATAATAGCTGATAGTCTATATAAAATATGTAAATAAATTAAATTGCAGCAATTGCAGGTAATTAAATTTAATAGATTCACAGTTAACAGTTATAACAGATATAAATTCACATTTCACAGATGACTTTTGAGGTCCTTGCGCGAGAGCTGAGCATAGATGGTGCCATGGGGCTTGTCGATCGGTATGAAGACCTCGTTGTTCTCGCCTGGCACCAGCTTTTGAAAGGGTTTCGTGTCGAAGCTGAAATAGTGCTTGTTGGGCATGGTCATCGAGATGACCGACACTTGGGGCAGCACGTCCAGCACCTGCTTCTCGCTGAGATACAGCGTGTGCTGGACCGAGGGCGAGGGGATGCCCACGCTGGGATCGCCGGCAAAGTTCCTCAGCACAATATCCTTGACCGTTTGCCAGGCGCGCAGAAAGTCGACGGACTGCGTCTCTGAGTACTCCCAGGAGCATTCCACGACGGTGCTGAAGATGCGATCGTGCTGATCTGCCAGCGTGCGGAACTCGTCGTCCACAAAGTTCACAAATGAGGATTGGGTCGTCTTCAGGACGCGCAGGTCCTTGATGCCACTCATGACGGTTTGCTTGGGATCTGGGATAAAGAGTATTATAGAGGAGCTCATCTTCTCTCTGGATGTGTCGCAGGTGCCTACCATTTTGGGACAGAATCACATCGCAGTAATGCATCGCCGTGGGCGTGAAGATGAAGGCGTGGTTGTGTAGCTTGCGTCTGCAATTCGGCTTTGAATCGCCGTTCTTCGCTTGACCGTGCTCCTGTTCCATGCGCTGCCATGGATACGCCTCGACATGCACGTGAGCCTGCTCCACGTGTGGATAGGTTTTCAGAAAATGGCTGGCCAGCAGCAGGGCGAACTTCTCGGGACTCTCGATGCCATGCTTCTTGGCCAGCAGGTAGACTGTATTCTTCTGCGAATCGGTGGCCACTACATCCGAGTTATTGCCCTGCATGTAGTCCTTGTTGCTGTAGAGCTTCAGATGGGTGCCCACCTCCAACTCCTGGATGCTGTGCACTGGGCCCTTGCGATTGATGTGCATCACTTTGACGGCATCCTTGCCGTAGCCCTTGTTGGTAATCTCGTACTGCTGCGACTGGTCCCTCACCACCGTGGTGGGTAGCTTCATGCTGGCCAGATTGCGCAATGGAGTTGCAAGCATATTGAGGTTTGTTCAACAGATATGCAACGAATGCTCTGCACAGCCACAGCTGAGCCTATTTATATGTCAGCCGCAATCTAATCGCCGTCCACATTACAACATCTGACACAAATTCCTCGAATCTTACTTTCATCTCATGCACAGTGTCTCATTGTAAGCTATAGATAAAGCATTTTATTGGATATGTTTTGACATTTCCACTTGGCAAGTTTTGTTTGTTCTTTTTTTCACTCTTAATTATGACGCACACATTTATACCAAGAGAGCCAAAACATATTGTTGACACTTATGTGCATACCCAGATTAAACGTGCTTATTACACGAGTTATACCTTTATTCCAGATATCATAAATGCTAAAAGAAGCATCTATGTGGACTTTTCGACCTACAACTTAAGGTATCGCCTTCTTATATAAAGATCATTAGAGCAGCATGTGAAAACGAAACAAATTTCAAGATATGTTTTATAGACATAAGCATATATACGTATGTATGTATATACACACGTATATACACAAATACAGGGCTGCCCATATTCCATAGAGCCATTTGACAACCCTAAAGCACTGCCCATATTCGACGGACCGATAAATATTTTTTTTTATCAAAGAAAAACCTATATATATGTATGTATACTTTTTATGTTGACTATAATAATTACTTAATTTGGTCCAATTATTTTTATTGACATTACTTTTTGAATCTGATATCTCTCAAATGAATCCCTTGAACCTGTAGAACGTATTGCTGCCCTCTTTCGGATAATATGGACGCACATTTTATGGGCGTCTTATATATTTATCCATCCGTTCATGGTGCAGCATTAAAGTGGCACTAAATCTGCACTCAGTTTTAATATCCTTGCAGCAATAGCAAAGCATTGTCGCAATAATTTCTACTCCATATCACGCATACGACCCATTGCGCATCCCTGAGCACAGCGTCCATTATAGTCAAATCAATTAAATTTTCAACGGGCATATGCTACCGATACGACTTACTATAAATAGCACATGCTACTCTTGCCATTGCCACGCCCCCACATTTTTTCCCCATTTTCATTTCCATAATTTTATGCACCCTTCAAACTAATTTTCAGACGATTCCCAGCCATTCCCCCACCAAAATGTGGGGAATGTTTTTACAGATGTCCAATCACTGTCCGCTTCTCTCTGTCCCTTATTTGCTTTTATTGGTTTTCTAGTTTTATTTCTTTCTTTCGGTATGTTTGCTTGACCTTGCTTAGGGTTCGGCACAGCAGATGCCAATTGCCATAGATATAGGGAAAAATGCCTTGAAATCTGAATTAAAAATTTAGAGCAACGAATTGGGTTACCTGCATTGGCCTCTATAAGACCTCAACTTCTTTAAGTAGAATCATTTTTTCCATTTTCTTTCTATTTACTTTAATAGCAACTTCTTCAGCTAGAATCATTTTTTCCATTATTATTCATCTCCTTCATAAATAATGCCTCTATTATCATAAATAATGAAAAGAGTTAAAAGCAAATTTCTAGATCTTTAATTCTAGTTATTTATCAAAAAAATTCAGACTCGTTGCATAATTAATTTCCCTTTTACTTATTATAATTATAATTATTTTGATTGCCACTGTAAATATTCTTTCACAACTTGAGCCGTTTGTTTGCCATGTTCTCAGCGCTGATTGTGTCCAAAGTTGGTGCCATAATTTATTGAAGTTGCCATTAAAAATTACAAACGTTGACAGCAGCACGTTTCATATGACTCACTGTGAGTGTGTGTGTATGCGTGTGTGCGTGTGTGTGTGTTACATTATTTATTTACTCGTATAATGGCAATGTGTTGGCCATGTATTTATTTTGTCATACGTGCGCACAACAACAAATATTTACAATTATTTATCATATTTATCAAAGCAAGATTTGAACAGTGCTAGCGAAAAGTGTGTTTACGCTTTGGTTTTTCGCACGCACAACTCCCCGATGAGCACAGCAAATCAGGAACAAAATCTTCAAATGTCAAATGGTAAATAAACCTGTCTGAGAAAAAAAAAGAAACGTTGAGTTTATTACAGTGCCTGCGCCTGTAAATGTATCTGCACCTGTACCTGTTTGCAATTTTGATATATCTAGATTATGTTGGCCTTGTCGTGTGTTTGCAAATACATTTGCATATCCCTCGACTCGAGATGAAAACACATGGAAAATTGATTGCTTTACGGCTCATTTTGTGCGCTGCTCGTTAACAAATTTATATTCACTTTTCCTTATTTTCCATAAAAAATACATACATATGTATGTATGTGAGCAGTAAATAATGAATGGCGCTGCCGCTCGAAGTGCGTGTGGCCATACGATATTAGATGTGCGACAGCCGAGCTACCTATGCTAGCTGTACTTTGAGGTGTGTATCTCGTCTGGTAATGTCACTTCTCTTAATGCTTCAGTCACACAGTTTGCTTTGAGTTGCGGACTGAAGAGAGTAGATAAATGTGCTGATGCTCTTGATAGATTTAGAGATAGTATATACGATACTTAATATCGTAATATTAAGTGTACCACTGATGAGTTAGTTCTACAAATGTTGTCTTTAAGTTGAGTTGTGTTTGGGGCAGGCCTCGCAGTTCGATATAAATATCAAGTCAAATCTAACAGGCTAGAAGATTCCTTACACTTTGCTTGATGATTTGATAAAGTGTAACGACAGTCGAGTCCCGATAGTTCGAGTTTTATTTTCGAGAAGTGAAAATTATCGAGAACGTATTTTTTTTTTTCAAAGTGATCGAGTTTGTTTCGACTTATCGCGTTTTTCGAGTGGAGTAAAAATAATTGATATTCGACTATATGTTTTATGTTAATAAAGCTGAAAAACAATATTTTAACAAAATTTCTGTGAAACCAAATCCATAAAAAGTTTTGCTAAAAATTGATTTACAATAATTGCTCTTAAGACTTTTCAAAATATTCTGTCGACTCTGGGAAAAAAAGTTGTTGACCTTTGCATACCTCTATCTTGATAATTCTTTGCCCGGCTTAAGGCTTAATTAATATGTTTGATTTGTAAGAAGCACTACTTTCGAAAGTTTAGTTCGACAATTTGTTTATATTGTTATAATTATTGTCGAACAACAATTTTTTGCGTATGAAGACCAAAATGGTTAAACTCCAGACTCATATGAAGCATAATTTCAACCCGTAAATCTAGTGGACCTTTTCTTGTATAAGGCTCACTGTTCGTCTCTTATATACATATATATTTTTTAAACGCACCCTTTTTTACAACCTCGATGATTAGGTCGTACAGCTCAACGTTCGTCTGACTATTTTTAGAGTCCACTCTCGTGGCCCTATTTATATCTATCTCACTATATGTTTGAATAACTATGCTTACACATTTATCTCTATTTCTTTGGTTATGCCTGAACAATATTAAATAATAATAATGATAAGTCGGAAATGAAAAGCACACATTAATAGAATTTGATAAGTTTTTAACTTCCCTAAGTGATTATTTTGATTTATTTCCATATATTATAATATCGAAATAGTTTCATTATGCATATTGGAGCCATCTTCTGTGTGTTTGTTTTCACGTTTGCATATAGAAATATATATTCATATTGAGCTAATGCTGATTAGAGATATTTCTTCAATTTAATTCACACCTGGATTAAACAGCACTCACTCAACGCTGCCTTTGCTCAATGAGCTGCCACTGGGCTTTGCCCCCTGCTGCCGGCATAGATTGATATCGTTGGCAGAGGGTTGCATGTCGCTTGATACGAAATGAAATTAGATTCAACATTTTCACGCCTTTTTAGTGCCGCGTGCTTCCACTTTTTTCTTCTTCTGTCCGGTAGTGCCAGGTAGGCTGATGCAACAGAGCCGCACCCAGTTGGCGCTGTTTGCCACTCAGCGGGGTGGCTGACTGCTCGTTGAGTGGTTGAGTGGGGCAGCCTGGGCATTGCGTGCACTGCGCCATTAATTGCAATGCTGTAAACACATTTTTTTCCAACTTCCGGCCGCAGCACACCCTGCGCATTCACTTTGTAGTTGAATTTCAATTGCAAAACACACGCAGCTAACGCCGAGGGTCCGTCGAGGGGTGCAACAAATTAGTTGCGGTTGCGCCCAAAAAGAGGAGAGAAAAAACGAAAGTGAAGTGCGTGCGGGCCCCATATGTAGGGCAGAGTCCTTGCCGGGGTTGTTGGCAAAAATGATTTAATGGCCATAATGTTAGTTGAATGGTTAATTCACTTACGTTTATGGCCAGCCGCTGTCTTGCGATGGACTCGGACTCGGATCGGACCGAGTTGCCGTTGCCGTTGGCTTCCTCTCCAGGGAGCTATCGTCGAAACATATGTCTGACATGGGGCATTGCTGCACTGAGGTTTGCCCGGTTCGCCCGGCCCGATGCGGTTCGCATATGTAATTATTGTCTAGATTTTGTTTGTACACACACACACACGAGTGCGTAGGTGTGTGTCGGTGTGTGTGTGTGTGTGGGCATGTGCTGGCAGCTTTAATGTGTTTATAACGTATGAGTAATGTGGCTCGTTTGTGGTTCCTTGGGGCTCTTGCTGCTTGATTTGAGGAGCTCTTCTGTTTTTAATTAGATGTGAAAGCCTTGGACGGCTTCAGCTGTAGGACGCATTGTCATCAATCTCCAGTGGCATCTGCTGCCCGGCCACGCCTCTTGCCACTTCATTTATTATGCGCCCAGTGCCACATACGTACATACATATATACCCTATAGTAGTTGGCTTCTTATGCGCAATTCAGAATTTGAGAGTTCACGCATGTGTGCGACAGCAATAAAAACTTTTTCATTAGTCCACAGCTCGAGAGCAGAACTTCTCAGAGGTAGCAGCTGCAAGCGGAGACCCCCCTTGCTGGTAGGACCCAAAATCTTTGAGTGGCTCACACATTTTAAAGTCAACGCACAACAGTGACAATTGACAAGTGTGTGTGCGTGTGTGTGTGTGTGTTTGAGGGTGTGTGTGTGAGGGTGTCTTTTGTCTTATTTTAGC